GGGGCCTTATACATGCTGAGTACATACTGGACCACTGAGCTACATCCCCAATTCTCGCTCCCTTTTTTTGTTGTTGTCAGTGAGGTAGGAGATTAGGGTGTGGCAAAGAGGCTGGACAGCAGGGTGTGACCTGTCAGTCACGGAGAGCTGTCCAGTCCCACCAGGGCGTGGCTTTCTACATCCTGGATCTGACATCAGAGGATCTGAAAGCCTGATGACCACTGTCTTCCCACTCTTTCAGGGATCCTTGCTGCATGCAGGGCATATTTTCACTCTTCTCTCTTTTTTTTTTTTCCACTTCCTTTTTCTTATCTTCAATGAATGAATGAAATCAGTTGGCTCCATCCAATTCTTTGAACTGGACAAGAGCCTGGAGCGGCTGGCTCCATACTGTCTGACAACAAGGTCTCACTATGTGGCCCAGGCTGGCCTTGAACTCGAGGCAATCCTCCTGCTTCAGCCTCCCCAATGCTGGGATTACAAACATGCCACCATGCTCTGCTTTTCCTGTTTGTTTGTTTGTTTGCTTGCTTTTGGTACTAAAACTCAGGACCTTGTGCTTACAAAGCAGGCATGGTGCCATTGAGCTAAATCCCTGTCGGTCCTCTTTCTGCTTTTTTGATTAGTGACATGCAGTTCTTGGCTTTTTGTTGACCCTCCTTATTGTGCACTGTATTTGTTTTCCATTTCATTATTACTTTTGTATTATTTTCATTCTTTATTTGTGTGTGTATTTTGCTGTTCGTTTTCTTGTCGCAGATGCTTGGTTCATTCATTTCCAGACTCCTCCTAAAAGGCCTATTTTAAGACTTTAAATTATACTCTAAGTTTTCATTTGCTCATAGCTTTTTTTTAAAAGGCCCATTTATTGAGCATCATGATCAAACTATCACATTTAACAGTCCACAGCACGGCTGCAAAAACCAAAGCAAAAGCTACCTTAAAACCCTCTGTTGAGTCACTGCACTTTCCACAGAACAGAAACAAACACGACGCGTCGCGTAACCGGTCCTCATAGCCTTCGCTTCCCGGCGCCATCTCAGGGGTCCTGAGCGGGTAACAAGGACCTTCTGCCACCGCCACAGCCACCAGGGCTACTGGCGCCACCGCAGCACGCTAGCTTCGCAGAGCAGTGCCCCTCCACCGCGGGGCCCCGCTTCGGTCTCCAAGGTTTCTCCCTTTGGGGGCCCAGAGCTGATGAAGATCGATCACCGTGGCTCCCCAAACCCCAAGGCGTCCGCCGTCTCCAACACTGCTTTCATCATTGCCAAACTCATCGCTGCCACCACCACAGCTGCCACCAAAGCCAGCCCTGCCACTGAGGTTCTCTCGGGGACCACCGCTGTCATTGCCGCCAGAGCCACCTCCACCCCTGCAGTCACCGGGACGCCCCAGCCCCTCTCTCACGGGCTCTGCTCACGCCCCAGGATCAGTACCCACCTCCTCTGCGGTGGCGAAGCCTGGGAGCGTTGGCGGTTGGATCTCTGGTTTCCAAGGAGCTTCCGCAGCTGTCCAGTTCGCGGGGAGACCCGGACTTAGATGTTACAGCAGTAGGGACGGAGACTTCAACCTTACATCCTTGGCAGTGCTCGTGGCAGAATGGGGTGAGTAACGAACGGATCTCCTCGAAGTTTTCTTTTTTGAGGCAGGGTCCTGCTGTGTAGTTCAGGCTGGCCTTGAACTCACGATACAGCCCGGGCTGGCCTCAAACCCAAAATGATCTTCCTGTCTCAGCCTACCACACTCTAGGATTATAGGCATGTACCACTATGCCCAGCTTCTGAGTTATAATTCACATCCCATGTAACTCACCCACTTAACGTGGTTTTTAGTATATTCACAAGCTTGTACAGAAGTCACCACAATCAATTTTAGAACATTTTCATCACCACAAAAAGAAAATGCCACATCCCTTCTGCTTTTCCATCTTCCCCCTCCCCTTGACAACCAGTAGCTAACTTTCTGTCTCTATGGATTTGCCTATTCTGGAGAGTTCATAGAAAATAGAATCCTTGAGCCGGGTGTTTAGCTCAGTGGTGCCGCGCCTGTCTGGCAAGCACAAGGTCCTGAGTTCGACCCGCAGTACAAAAACAAAACAAAACAAAAAGATTCCTGAAATCTATGGTATTTTCACAACTGACTTTCACCAATGTCTTCAGGGTTCACTGGTGTCCTATGTCAGTACTTTGTTCCTTTTTGTTTACCAAGAATATTTCTTTGTGAGATTGCACCTCAGTCTTGTAATCCATTCATCAGTTGATGAATGTTTGAGTGTTTTCCACTTCGGGGCTCTTATGAATACTGCTGCTCTGAGCATTCACACCCATGTTTTGGTCTCTCGTGGGCGTGTACCTCGAAGGCTGATACTAGGTCACGCAGTAACTCCCTGTCCAACCTTTTGAGGACCTGTCGAGCACTTTTCCAAAATGGTGGCAACGTTTTATATTCCACCCAGCAGTGTACAAGAGTTCCAACTTCAAGCGCCAAATGACACATTATTATTATTATTGGTACCGGGGATCGCAGGCGGTGGAACCACTGAGCTCCATCCCCGGCCCCTCTGGGCGAATGCTCTACCACTCATCCATACCTCTAGCTCTCCACTGCTTTGTGTACCCAGTGTTTTTGTTATCGAGTCTTTTTCTTTGATTCTGGTTCCTAGGAATATGCTTCCCTCTTTCCAAATCTAAGAATTGTCCAATTTTTGTGACTGATAAAGTGCTAGCTAAACTCTGTTGTGTTATGGTCTAGTTCTAGGATGTCTCCAGAAGTCTCAAGTGTTCAGAAATGGGCTTTGGGAAGGTGACTGGATCATGGGGCGCCGTACTCCTCAACGGACCCAGCCACTGTTGCACTCATGGCCGAATCTGCCGTTAGAAGCTGAGGCCCGGTCAGAAGAGGCGTCACTGGGGGGCGTGGCCTCAGGAGTATCCGCTCCCAGGCTCCTCCCTTCAGGGCCTACTTCCGGGAGCCATGATGGGTGCCCCTCTGCTCAATGCTAGGCTCTCTGCTGTACTGTTTCTGGACTGAAATTTCTGAAACTGTAAGTGAAAATAAGCACTTCCTCTTTTAAGTTTTAAGTGTTGGGTATTTTGTCCCAGCAACGAAAACTGACTAATGCAGTAGTGATTAAAGAACATTATCTAATTAAACTGCTTAAATATTTCACATATTTGTTTTATTGATCATATGTGGTTGTATTTTATCAGCGTTCCTCCATGTGCTTGAAAAGAGCACCTGCAGTTTGAACTTAAATGTTCCACGTGTATCAATTAGGTATATCTTCATAATTTTTTGGCTTTATTTTTCTATTGATTTTGAGAGGTATGGATTAAAAATCTCCCTGTGGTATACAAATTTTTAGCTTAAAAAACAACTTTATAATCCCACTAGTAATACTGGCTACTTGGAAGGCTGAGGCAAGAGGATGACAAGTTCAAGGTCAACCTGGGCAATTTAGTGAGACCTTGTCCCAAAACTAAGTATGTAAACAAATAAGAAACTACATAAAGGCCTAGGGATGTAGCTCTTCATTAGAGTAGCCCTGGGTTTGATCCCAGTACTGCAAAAAAAAAGAGCTCATGACATAGAAAGCTTACAAATGTAGAACCGTATTTCATGGTGAACTGTACATTGCTGACATTACACAATAGTCATCTATATGCGTTGTAATGTCTCTGTCCATGTTGTCTGATGTTACTGTAGTTCTCTGCTGGTTAGTGCTTCTGTGTAAATTCTTCCGTTCTTTTATTTTTCAGCCTTACTGTATCCTTTTCATGTAGACATTTATCTTGTAATCAACATATGGGTGGTTTTACCACCGTGGAAATATTTTTATTTTTTGCCTGAAACAGTCTGCTAATATTGTAATTACTAATAAATTTGGTTTTAAGTCTCCATCTTGCTCAATGTACTTCATCTTCTGTGTTCCTACTTTTCTTAGTTGCTATATTTTAGATTGAGCTTCTTCTTTCCAATTTTTAGGTTTTTGCATCAAAATACTCTCCAATACCTAATAAAAGCTTTGTAAACAATCTTTAAAAATCCATGTGTAGCCAGGCATGGTGGCGCACGCCTGTAATCCTAGCACTCAGGAGGCTGAGGAAGGAGGATTGCTGTGCATTTGAGACCAGCCTGGGCTACATAGTGAGTTCCAGGTCAGTCTCAACTATATAGTGAGACCCTGTCTCAAAAAACCAAAAAAACAAACAAAAATCCATGTGTAAAGTTGTAGTCTTTTGGGCTATTTTTTGTTTTGATTTGTTTGGTTGGTTTGGCTTGGTTTGGCTTATTTTCTTGAGACAGGGTCTCACTATGTAACCTAGACTGATCTCAAACTTGTAATGATCCTCCTGCCTCAGCCTCCTGATTGCTGGAATTAAAGGCATGTACCACCATGCCTAGTATGGATTTTCAAACTTTTTTTGTATTTTTGGGGGGTTCTAGTGGTCAAACTTGGGACCTTGCACTTGTAAAGCAAGCGGCAGAACCACTGAGCTAAATCCCTGGCCCCTCAAACTTTTCTTTATTACCATTGCCAGTTTATAAAATCAGAAGTGATTTCTTTTGTCATTACATGTTTTGACGCTGTCAGTTTGAAAGTTACTTTTTTCTATTCACTTAGTGATTTCTGTAGAACCATACTGGCCAGTTTTCCATGCTGGGATCAATGGGATTGTCCCATGTTTATGCTGCCCTGTTGTAGTAGTCAGTAGCCACATATGGCTTGTGGTTGTTTTTTGAGACAGAGTCTTACTGTGGAGATTAGACTGGCCTTAACTCATTATGGAACTCAGACTGGCCTCAATCCTCCTGCCTCAGCCTCCCGAGTGCTGAAATTATGGGCATGCACCACAATGAGTAGTGCACATATTGAGCACTTGAAATATGGCTAATGCAATTGATGAATTGAATTGTTTAATGTATTTAATTTTCCTTAATTAGAATGTAAATACCCACATGAGGCTCTTGGCTACCATATTGGGTAGCACAGTTATAGAAGTTATAACGTTGTCTTTTCTTGTCAGTGCATGCTATTACTGTCAGCCTCTTCCCAGACAACGTGTGCTAACCCCTTCGTTCCCCTCTGGATATATATGGCACGGTTAATATGTTATAATTCTCTCTATATTTTAAGTTCCCAAAGACGTTATCGTTACTATTTCATGCCATCTCCCTCTTGTTCCACCCATTCTGTCTCCGCTTCTTCATGTCCCTTGAGTGACAAGCTCACCCTCACCTCTGGGATTTGTCCCCTTTGCTGAGAATATCTTCCCCTCACATAGCGGTGTGGCCAGCTCCTTCTCCTTGTTCAGATCCTGCTCAGATCAGTACTCCTCACCAGGTGTCCCTCCCTCCGTTGTACAAGAACTGCCTGCTGCCCAATTCCCGGAACCTTGCTTTTGCTGCCCTGAGACCCCTGTGTGTCAGAGTGGTGACCTGTTGGTGACCCCGTCACCTTGCCAGCAATCGGTGCTAACCTTGAGCATGGGGTGCTGCTGTGGGAAATTGGGTATGAAAGGAAGTTGACTGGAGGAATTCTGGGAACTTCCTCTGACACGGGGGAGAGATGGTGACAGGAGACAGTGAGCATGTCACACAGGGATGGCACTGAACGGGGGGGTCTCTTGCCAAATGATACTGATCTGTGGGAGCTGGGATCCTGGCTGTCTTGTCCTGGATGTGGCCCAGGGCACTCCGAAGGGGGCAGTCTCATTGGATGGATCCATGGAGGGAGGGAGAGCAGACCGGTTCCTGAGAATTGGGAAGTTTCCTGTTCACAGCCATGGCCCACATCCTGGAAGAGCGCTGAGCCTTCCTTGGGTGTACTCATGGGGCTGCAGGGTGAGCCCCTTTCTGTTCCCGCAGAGACCTCCAAAGCATGACCCTGTTCCTGGGCCTACCAGCTTATCCCTGGGTGTTGGCATGGCTGGCTCCCTCCTCCTCCTTCTCTTCCTCCCCCTGCATAGAAGGAAGGAAAGGAGTTGGCCCTCTTCTTCCTTGGCAGCCCGGGTGCTCATTTGTAGCCTTGAGGCCAGGCCCAGTGGGCAGGCCAGCTGCCACGGTTCATCACACAGCCCGCTGCTGCTGCCCATGAGGCTGGCTTTGAGGGGCAGCCAGGGCCTCGGTGGGAACTGCTCACCACTCCAATTGGCCTCTCTCAGGAAGCGGCGGCTGTGGCTCACACTTGTCTTTACCCTGACGGCCATTCGGCCCTGTCCAGGGGCACAGTGCGCTTCCTGGGAGCCGGCTTTGCGGCCAGCAGGGCAGGAATCTACCCTTGTTCTACAGATGGGGACACAGGAATCCTGGGGCAACCTGGGTCCCTGCCCAAGGCCACAGTGAGGCTGAGCTGCACTGCCAGGAGGAAGCAGCACCAAGCCCAGCGCCAGGGCTCTCCTCCTCACTCTGCTGGCAACTGGAATGAGTTCCCACAGGAAAAGGGACCTCCCACCGGCTCCTAGGGCCACCCTGGCCCTGTCAGATGCCAGGCACAGCAATCTGGCTTCTCGCAGAGAGTGTCCATGTGAGAAGCGTCGTGCACCGGGACATCCTGCCCAAACTGCAAGAGGCAGCCCTGGGAACCAGGCTGGTTTGTCCAGCAGTCAAGCTGGCCGCTAGGTCTAGCTGTGACTTGCTGCCCTGTGCCTTGATTCACCCGTTCCAGGTGTGTGCACCAGGGGCCAGGCAGCCTTGCCCAGAAGGGGATTGCATGCGCCTTTCGTCAGCCTCACAGATGCCCTCAAGGCAAAGACCAGTCTGATGACGCGCTGATCCTAGTCCTCCATCAGGGGCTGAAATCGCCTCTTTGCGTCACAAAGATCACAAGCCTGCCGCGTGTTACAGTTTGTATCTAGATGTGTCCCAAAGCCGTGTGGCTTGCAGGTATGGCTTTTGGAAGGCGATTGGATTGTGGAGGTTTGCCGCTGCCTTGCTTCTAGGAGGTGGGGTCTGGTCAGGAGAGGTGGCCCCTGAGGTGTGGGCTGGAAGGGTCTGTCTGTCTTCCTTCCGGTTTCCCTTTCCCATTCTACTTCCTGTCCACCTTGCTGTGAGCAGCTCTTCTCCGCCAGGCCCCCTGTGCCAAGACATCCTGCTTTGGAGCCAAACTATAGTCTGAAACATGAGACAAAATAAACCTGTCCTCCCTTTAGTGTGGTGTCAGGTATTTTGTCCCAGCAATGAAGAAAGTGATAAGACAGTGCAGCTGGACCTCCTCCGGCAAGAAGGGCCTCCCTCCCTTCCACTATGGCCCATTCCCCCTTTTCTTCTGCCACCTCCCCATCTTTTTGTTAGACAGAGCATTCTTCTCCTGAGCCTTCCCACCTTCCTCCATCAGGCCCTGGACCTGTTATACTCTCTGAGTCCTTAGAATTGACCAGTCAGTCTCTTTTTCTCTCATGGCCTTTTCAAGACCAGAAGGCAAGCTGGGCATGGTGCTGTACACCTGCAATCCTAGCCCTTGGGAGAGGCTGAGGCGGAAGGATTTCTGTGAGTTTAAGGCCAGGCTAGGCTACATAGCGGAGACCTTGTCTCTAATAAACATCAAGACCAGAAGACAGCCGGACTCTTCTCCTCTGCCCAAATGTCTTCAGTTCCATAGCTGCCCCTTGAGGGACCACTCTCCTGGCCCTTCCCTATTCACATGCTCTTCTTCAGGGCTCTAGGTGAGCTCAGAAGGGGTCAAAGTACTTCAGGTGTTTCCTGAGCTCAGAGAGGCCACACAGCCCACTCGAACATTCCCAGGGCAGGACTGGGCTGCGCGTGGAGGCCAAGTCTGAACTCAGGCCACACAGCCCACTCGAACATTCCCAGGGCAGGACTGGGCTGCGCGTGGAGGCCAAGTCTGAGCATTTAGAAGTGACGATCCCACTGCCAAACCATTCACCAAGCGCACTGCTAGAGAACCTCAGGTCCTCGTAGAGACCTGCTGCTGGCTGTGAATCTAGGGGTAGAGCCCCTCCGACTCTGTTCCACATGTGACAGGGCTGGGACAGCGTGCTCCCTTCTCTTCCTCCCTCTGACTGCACCTGCGATGCAGGAGAC